AGAGAGAGAAGGAAGGAAGTTGAAGAGTTTAATCAAGAGAGAGAAGAGCAAAACCAGAAAAATGAGAGAAACAACGAGAAAATAGGAGGGAAAATAGAAGGAAAGGAGAGAGACAGTTGAAATGAATGAAAGAAAGGAAGAAACGGAGAGAAAAGAAAAGAGAAAATATAACAAATAATATAGAAATAAGCGTTCTTCATATTGATGACATGTACCCGACTTTTTCATTTCCAACGGAGAAACTTGAGACCAAACCACAAATTTTAATACCTAGCAACGGGTGTTCTGCCTCCCAACAAGACAAAGAATCTTTTCAGAGACGACACCAAGCCGTATCAGCTGAGCCAATGCAGCGGCCATGCCTAAAGGGAAGTAGCTATAGCGGGTATAGTTTTACCGCAGAACCTTGAAAATATTCTCTTTGAAGTTAATGGCAACTGCTATGATGACACTGTATGAATGAATAATGTTTGTATATTCTTATTCACACGCGTGTATACATATGTGATTTTATGCGTCACACGTATGCTAAGTGTAAGGGTATGTGTATGTGTATTGTACATACACACATACTCATTTTTAAGTGTTTACACGTATACTTATATGACATCAATTACGATAATCTTACAATTAGCATATAATATATATATCTCCGGATGCTTAATAACACATTTTCATATATTTTGTAAATGATCGTTGGGTGGAGTCTAAACTAGAAAGGGGGGGGGGAGAGAAGGCATCTGGCAACTGTATCCGCCGTGTCACATTTTTCAGTATATTTGTTAACATTTTTCTCTTTGTAATTTCACCTTAACGTCCTGTCTGCCATGAATGTTTTTTTTTTGTTTTTATCGTCTGTTACTACTGGACATGAGGACGTTTGACGTTGTAACGACATTTCGATATGCGCGGTTAAGTCCGTCTCTCAACAAAGGACGGTGTGTGTGTGTGTGTGTGTGTGTGTATGTGTGGTGGGTAGGTGTGGAGGGTGTGGAGGGTGGGTAGAGGACGTGGGTGGGTGGGTATATGCGAATGTGTATGTGTATTTATTCATACACACGGAGAGAGAGAGAGAAGAGAGAGAGAGAGAGAGAGAGAGAGAGAGAGAGAGAGAGAGAGAGAGAGAGAGGAGAGAGAGAGAGAGAGAGAGAGGAAGAAGAGGCAGAGAGAAGAGAGGCAGAGAGAGAAGAGAGGCAGAGAGAGAAGAGAGACAGAGAGAAGAGAGACAGAGAGAGAGGAGAGACAGAGAGAGAGGAGAACAGAGAGAGAGAGATAGAGAGAGACGAGAGAGATAGAGAGAGACGAGAGATAGAGACGAGAGATAGAGAGAGACGAGAGATAGAGAGAGACGAGAGATAGAGAGAGACGAGAGATAGAGAGAGACGAGAGATGAGAGACGAGAGATAGAGAGAGAGAGAGATAGAGAGAGACGAGAGATAGAGAGAGACGAGAGATAGAGAGAGACGAGAGATAGAGAGAGACGAGAGATAGAGAGAGACGAGAGATAGAGAGAGACGAGAGAGAGAGAGAGAAGAGAGAGAGAGAGAAGAGAGATAGAGAGAGAAGAGAGATAGAGAGAGAGAGAGAGATAGAGAGAGAAGAGAGATAGAGAGAGAAGAGAGATAGATAGATAGATAGATAGATAGATAGATAGATAGAGAGAGAGAGAGAGAGAAGAGAGAGAGAGAGAGAGAGAGAGAGAGAGAGAGAGAGAGAGAGAGAGATGTTGTGTGTATGTACGTATATTCTTGCCTTATTTCCTGTTGCTTAATATATGAATTGTCGGCGTTCTAAAACATAAACTCACCGTACAGTCAGCTCACCATGCATCTGTAAGAAAGCTAATATGATTTATAAAGTCTAACAGAATATAATGAAATTCAAATAGAAAGATATGCAGTTTATGTTGTAACAGAAAGAAAAAAACTCAGATTTGAAATATATTACATGAGGGGTACCATTAACTTAAAATATCCTTACTAAAATAACTTAAAATTGGAAGTTATATAAGTGAACTGTTCTGTCTAAAACAGCTGTCAAGGCAAGCACAAGGAGCATGAATATAAAGCTTCGCGATTGTCAATTTGAGACCAAACTCGAACGGACCAATCACACTCTTCGTTAGAAAAGACTCCCCAAAATAAATCCAGCCAACCATAATACCTCTTACAACTGGCCAAAGCAGACTGAACCAATCAAATTCTTCGTTGTAAAGGCCGATGAAAGCTAGAAGACCATTTGGTTCAAAGGAATCTTTCGCGCGCTTTCAGATGATTTTCTTGTACTTGGCGCGCACTCCCTGAGCAGACGGAAGCTGGAGGAGACACACATCCTTCTAAATCCCCGAAAACTAAGGCAATAATTGGCGAAAATGGTGCAGCAGACGGAGAAATGTGGTCCAAGATGTACGTCTGAAGAGAGGTATGTGACAAACGTTAAATTTTAAGTACAATTCTATATTTTCGAGTTTTGTGAACTTGTAAGCCTACATTGCTCCTTGCGAAATACTTCTCAGTAACCGCCGTCATTTTTAAGTGTAAATCATTTAAAAGTTATTCACATTTTCGTATTTCTCGATCAATTTAAGAAGGCGAAATACAACCCAATATTATTTTACGAAAAGCAACACCGATTTCGGTTAATTGCATAGAAATCAACTTCCTGTCGACCGGCCTACCTTCCCACCGAATGAATCTCAACAAAACAACAATTTTCCCGCAATAATAAAAGTCTAATCAAATCAACAAAAAACATCCTTTAAGAAAGCAGAGAGAAGAAATTAAATAAAAAAGGCCAAAAAAAAAAAAGAAAAATCCTTTGTAAACCACACCCTTTGGTTGTTAACGGACCGAACCGCCTTTGCAATGGCATGCTTGGGAAGTCTCTCGTGCAGCATTCGGCAGGTCCGGCCGGAAGATTGTCTCCTCTCTCTCTCTCATTCTCTCTCTCTTCTCTCTCTCTCTCTCTCTCTCTCTCTTCTCTCTCTCTCTCCTCTCTCTCTCTCTCTCTCTCTCTCTCTCTCTCTCTCCTATCACTCTCCTATCACTCTTCTATCTGTCTTCTATCACTCTTCTATCTGTCTTCTATCACTCTTCTATCTGTCTTCTATCACTCTATCTCTCTTCTATCTGTCTTCTATCACTCTCTCTCTCTTCTATCTGTCTTCTATCACTCTCTCTCTCTTCTATCTGTCTTCTATCACTCTCTCTCTCTCTCCTATCTGTCTTCTATCACTCTCTCTCTCTCTTCTATCTGTCTTCTATCACTCTCTCTCTCTCTTCTATCTGTCTTCTATCACTCTCTCTCTCTCTTCTATCTGTCTTCTATCACTCTCTCTCTCTCTTCTATCTGTCTTCTATCACTCTCTCTCTCTCTCTCTCTCTCTCCTATCTGTCTTCTATCACTCTCTCTCTCTCTCTCTCTCTCTTCTATCTGTCTTCTATCACTCTCTCTCTCTTTCTATCTGTCTTCTGTCACTCTCTCTCTTCTATCTGTCTTCTATCACTCTCTCTCTTCTATCTGTCTCTATCGCCCTCTCTATCTCTCTTCTATCTGTCTTCTATCGCCCTCTCTATCTCTCTTCTGTCTTCTATCACTCTCTCTCTCTTCTGTCTTCTATCACTCTCTCTCTCTCTCTCTTCTGTCTTCTATCACTCTCTCTCTCTCTCTTCTGTCTTCTATCACTCTCTCTCTCTCTCTCTTCTGTCTTCTATCACTCTCTCTCTCTCTCTTCTGTCTTCTATCACTCTCTCTCTCTCTCTCTTCTGTCTTCTATCACTCTCTCTCTCTCTCTCTTCTGTCTTCTATCACTCTCTCTCTCTCTTCTGTCTTCTATCACTCTCTCTATCTCTCTTCTGTCTTCTATCACTCTCTCTATCTCTCTTCTGTCTTCTATCACTCTCTCTATCTCTCTTCTGTCTTCTATCACTCTCTCTATCTCTTTATCTCATTCAAAAGTCACTTGAATGAGAGGAACTGGAGA